GTATATTTACAGGTATTACACTGAGGGTTATTGTCCAGTCATACTGTCGTGGGTCAAGTGTTCATCAGAGTGACAGCCCAGGGGAAGAAGATGTCCCTGTGTCTGGTTGTCTTGGTGCACAGTCTGTAATGCCGTCCAGAGGGGAGGAGTTCGAACAGATTGTGTCCTGGGTGTGAGGGGTCTGCAGTGATCCTCTCCGCCCTCCTTCTGACCCGTGAGGTGTACAGGTCCTCCATGGAGGGCAGGCTCACACCAATGACCTTTTCTGCAGTCCTGACTGTCCGCTGAAGCTGTACTTGTCCTGTTTGGTTGCTGAGCCAAACCAGACAGTGATGGAGGTGCAGAGAACAGACTCGATGATTCTTCTGTAGAACTGTATCAGCAGCTCCTGGGGCAGGTCGAACTTCCTGAGCTTGCGCAGGAAGTACATCCTCTGCTGTGCCTTCTTGATGATGGTCCTGATGTTGGACGTCCACTTCAGGTCCTGGGAGATAGTGGAGCCCAGGAACCTGTAGGACTTCACTGCTGATACAGTGCTGCCAAGTATGGTGAAGGTGGGGGGTTCTTCTTGAAGTCCACTGTCATCTCCACTGTTTTGAGCATGTTCAGCTCCAGGTTGTTGTGGATACACCATAGGACCAGCTGCTCAACCTCCCGTCTGTAGGCTGACTCGTCATCATCTCTGAGTGACTGAACTGTTTGTACAATTCCAAAACAAAAACAAAGAAATGCAGCAGTTGTGGACCTTTTATGAAATTAATAATATAATATTGCAACAGTTGGATCTTGTAAACAAAGCAGGTCACACTCACAGTGAGAACATCAGTGTTTTAGTACCCCCTGGGAAGGTTTTCTTTAGCTGTTTGGTGGCCATGATTGTTGGTTGCGTTCGTTGTCACTGGACCAGTTGAAGCTGGTATCCCTGCCCCGACCACTGGGGGCAGTTGTGAGCAATTTGCTGCTTGGCGCACATAATGAGGAGAATACGATGCTAAAATTCACTAGGACAGGCCAAATAAAGGTGAGATTTGTGGTTTACTGGAGATGTTTTTCAAACATTGTGGTTTACTTTTCAAGAGAAAAGCCTTCAAGGCTGATTAGTAAATGGTTGGTTTAGCATATGTGTGCCTGGTTTGTTTTCCCGTTGCTGTTAGTATTGTGCACAGCAGTCTCCCGACTGTTTCTGCAAGATATATTCAGGACTGTCTCAGTCCTACACGGGGCTAGTGTTGCCTTCATCCCACAATATTTGCAAAATGTTCAGCGTTTCTCCATTTCCTTTTCACTTATGTCATTTCTTTAAACAGGAAAATTGAACTGCTGCCACACAGTAGCTGTAAAAGTTGACAATTTAGCATCCGCTATCTGTTTCAAATTCTGCGACCTGAATGCAGTTATACCAAGGAAATAGCCGTATGTAATATTCCGGTAGATACTGTCATTGTCCAATGGCATTTTTGAGAAATTTTTCTATTGCAATACTGCAAAATTACAAATGTCGTTACATCCTTATATTTTATCACTGCTAGGAGAATGGCTTAAAGAGTCTGACATCAGACTGTCCCTTCAACTATTTGACTGTTGGGTGAGATATCTGAAAAAATATTTACTATTGCTGGCATAGAGTACACTAACCACTTTTTCTGTCTTTTTGGGAAACGAGGAGAATACAGGCCCTGTTACACTGGTGATTTCATTGAAGCTAACTTGTTTCCTTTTGTGCCCAGCCGGTTCAGTGAAATTGAATCGACAGCAGACCGACATTGCAGTGAACTGGGCAGGAGGGCTTCACCATGCAAAGAAGTCTGAAGCCTCTGGATTCTGTTATGTTAATGACATTGTGCTGGCCATCTTGGAACTGCTCAAGTGAGTTTCACTGATAAAACTCTTAGACACTATGAGAAGGTACTGGCATTTCTAATGATGTCCATCCACTTATACATTATGAAAAGCACATTCTTCATCACAGTACTGCCTCACAATCTTGATTTTCCAGTTGTGTTATTTGAAAATAGTGTTAATCAAACTATGTATTGTTTACATTTTGCTCTGTCTGTGTTGTCCCTCACTCCCAGGTACCACCAGAGGGTGCTGTACATTGACATAGACATCCACCATGGGGACGGAGTGGAGGAGGCCTTCTATACCACAGACAGAGTCATGACTGTGTCCTTCCATAAGTATGGGGAGTACTTCCCTGGGACCGGAGACCTCAGGGTGAGCCTCAGCCTTCAGCCTCACTTAGTTACAGGTCATGATTTTCATATGAAATCAGCTATGGATTGTTGGTGTGTGGAGTACGTAGGTATTAAACTAGGAGTCAGTGTAAATCAGTTTGGTATAGATTTGAGTGAGACTTTAGTTATTTTTGTGATTATGAAAAGGCATAGGTATTTAGTTGATTTACTGTAACTCACATTTCTTGACACCTCTAATGAGTATTCTGATAATTTAATGATGCATACAGTATGTTTCTCTGTCTTCTATTCCATTGCCCTTATTTGTGTTTAGGATATCGGAGCTGGAAAAGGCAAATATTACGCTGTCAACTTCCCTCTGCGAGATGGCATTGATGATGAGTCATACGAGCAAATCTTCAAGCCTGTGAGTTTAATTGAGAAAATGATACAAGCCTTTTCCATCCCACTGCACATTTGATCAAGATTTAGACATCTCTCATGAAAGAAATCAGTCATGTTTGCTTCGACCCACTTGATGAACCATTTAACAAAACATTTTTTATACCTGACTGTGACTCCTCCTGCGCGTTAACTCCAGTGTTTATACCTCACATTATATAAAGGTCATGAGACATTAAGCTGAGCTAAACAATATTTTTAGTTTAACAATTCATCAGGTTATATGAAGAGATCGTTTGGAGTGATAAACCCACCCAACTCTGCAATTCTCCCTACCTCTATTTAGCATTTTAGTGTGTTTTAGCTTACTGTTTTGGTTCTACATTTTGTTTCTAGCAGCAGCAGGCTTTCCACTGGAAAAGACAGATAGAAATTTGCTTTTAGCACCTAAAGAACCAGATATTATTCTGTGAAGACAGTGGAGAACAAATCAGAGCTAAAAAGAAGTACTGCTCCAAATAAATGCAAATTGTGCTGCATGGTCTGGGTGTGTAAATAGGTAGCTGTTTGCTTTCATGTATGCCATAACAACATTGTTGGATGTTTTCAGGTTGTACACTGGGATTATAGCTGGTAGACAGGTGGTCATGCACATCTTCTTTAAAGACTGATATATATATTTTGTCTTTTATGTGACCCTGCAGGTGATGGCCAGAGTGATGGAGATGTACCAGCCCAGTGCTGTAGTTCTTCAATGTGGTGCTGACTCTCTCTCAGGAGACCGTCTCGGCTGCTTTAACGTCACCATCCGTGGTAAGGCTACACGCACATTTACACCCATTAGTCAGATTTGGGCTGAGAGTAGTCTAAAATGGGTGAATGCACTGGTTGGTCTGTTACTGGTCAGGAAGTGATACACTGTGTTTTGTGTGTCTTCCAGGCCATGCCAAATGTGTGGAGTACATAAAGTCCTTCAATCTTCCACTGCTCATGCTGGGTGGAGGAGGATATACCATCCGAAATGTAGCCCGCTGCTGGACCTATGAGACAGCTGTGGCTCTGGACACAGACATCCCTGACGGTTCGTCACCTATTATGTGACAATGAATGCAAGTCTTGCTCCATTACCGCTGGATGTGAAGCTCAAAAGAGCTATTTTGTCCATTTTGGGCACCTTTCCTCCCCACCTCCTTCCCTAGCTGTAGATTCTGTCTTATTTTGTTTCATCTGATGATTAGAGGCTAAAACATCAGTAGGAACAAACATGGCTCCTCCAGTAGAGGAACAGTATAAGCACCCAGTTGCGCTGGGCAGCTGTGAGATGGAATGTAGGTGACAATACCCATCCAAGTAGGGATGGGTATTGAATCCCGGGATTAAATGGGCACAATTGCTGAATTATTAAAGTATCCATAAGTTATCAGTCCTGCTATCAGGACTGGAGAAGTTTAAAAAAGCTATCCAATTTTATCCTGCCAACTTTGTTTCTGATTAATACATTGATCTCTAATGTATTTTCACTTTTCCCAATCCAGAAGACAGCTCTGTCTCTCAGAGCCCATGTGCAAGGGGTTGGGGTAGGTCTGTCTCACACACTGCAACACTGTGTAGCACAAACATGGTGGACAGAACTCAACTATGTGTGGTTGCACTTCACTCAGGTCGATGCTGACAATCCTCATTGCAACAAGTTGTTGGTAAGTAAGGGCAGAAACCTGAGTAATCTGTAGCCAAAGCCCATTATATAAGGTGATGGTCTTTGTGGAGAAATGCACAATTTTCGACTGCCTAGCTTGCAGTTCGTCTCTTGTTGTCCAGGGATGTTATGTATGCTAGCAGCCTGGTGCGCACACACAGAGTTACTTAAATTATAAGAACATAGATAATTGATTAATGATGTGTTCATATATTCAATCTCGTGGTTTGTGCATTGTCTGAACTGTCATTGAGAAACTCAGTTTCAGAACAGATTTAGTGGTTTATGGAGGGAAGGAGGTGAAGAACAAAATACTGTCAAAGTCCAGCATTTGAATGTTTGTTCCTTTAATCACATTGTAGTCCAGTGATTTGTTCAAAACAGTGCTTCTCCAGAATGTTAACAGTTGCCTACATATGAGAAAATTAAACAGTGTTAAGTCTGTTCTTAATTAATGAATTCTTAGTTTTTTTTCTTAAGAACACATAAGGATACAGTGAAAGTATTATTTCCTCAAAACAGAAATTTTTAAAAAGTTGAATCTTTTCATATCATGTCTTTATTCTTTGCACCAAATTGAGAATAGTGTCAGTTAGATTATCAATTATCAGTACTAATCAATACCCATCACTAGATGCAGGGCACCATGCAAAGCTAAATGTGCATCCTTTCTTGATGAGGCCTAAACTTTTTCACTTGCTGGGTAGTATACAAGGATTATCAGGAAAATATACTCAAAGTATCAAAAGAACTCAAGCATCAGCTTCGACCTGTTGAGCATTTGATACATTGGAGCTGGTATGTGAATGGGTGGGTGTCTGCAGCACCTTTGTTGGTTCAGCCTGGACTGTTCACTGCTGGATGATGGTGATAAATGTGGATCTGGGGGTTGGTGAGAGAGCGTTTTATGATTTTGCCTCTGCAAAGGGACAACCTGTCTGCTACCTTTCCTGAGCTGAGCTCAGTCAGCAGACTGTTCCACTGAGTGTGTGAAACAGAAAGCGAGGGGATGTAATCGCAGGCTGCTGGGTGGGCCAGAAATCCACCTAATGAAATTTCAGAACAGAACTCCTCATTCATTTCAGCTCATCCTCCCTTCAGTCAGGATCAGTATAGATTAATGTGCCTGAGGAAATCAAACTAACAGATGTGTTATGGCTCCCTTTTTCCCCCCATTCCACATGACTGATGGTTGGACACTCAGTTTTGTCTGAGGTGGGTAAATCTTCTCCAGCTGTGTTCATCTAGGGTCATTTAGCTAACTTTTCTGTGTTGTTTCTTTCGCAGAACTGCCATACAATGACTACTTTGAGTACTTCGGGCCCGACTTCAAACTACACATCAGCCCCTCCAACATGACCAACCAGAACACACAGGAGTACATGGACAAGATCAAGTATGTACACTCATTTTATAGGAGTGGCTTTTAACAAAGCTGCAGTGGATTTGAATAGATTTTAATAGTTTTTGGAATAATTATTATAACTGATGATTACACAAACGTTATACTGTATTGTTATAATCTAAAAGATAAATTAACCTAGATTCACTAGATTTTTTTTCTGGAGTTTTGAATCACATCTCCCAGTCTATGTCCGGGCTTTATTAAGTATGAGGCAGTACAATGAGAAACATTTATTCTGGCTGTCGATTTATTTACTTTTTTATTGTAAAAAAAACACACACACACACACGGACACACACACACACAAAGGGAAAAAATTTTTTGAACCCAACCCCAGCTGATTTTGTAAGTTTGCCCACTAACAAAGAAATGATCAGTCTACATTGTCAATGGTAGGGTTATGTGAACAGTGAGAGACACAACAATAACAAAAAAATCCAGAAAAATGCATTACAAAAAAAGTTATACATTAATTTGCATTTTCATGAATGAAATAAGTATTTGATCCC